CTTAATTGGTTATCCCAAATCATTTCAAAGTTTGTTTTGTTTTTATTCTTATTTTGTTTTGTTTTTCAGTTTTCTGTTTCATGTTCAATCTTTTTCTTTAATTAGTGGTGTCTGCAAAGAAAAATTCACAGATGTTTTCTTATCAGTAACATTCTGCATCAATAGATTTGTGATCTTATTCTGTAAATGTCAATAACCAAATCATTAGTTAGTGCCAAGCTATCTTGTAGTACAGGAGGACCATCTTTCCATTAGATCCTCAGATTGTATCTTTTTAAAAGAATAATCAGATTGGAGGAAGTAGACTTGCTAATGAATTTTGTGGTGTCCAGTTTCACTAACTGTTACACTGATCAACTTTCTCCTAATCCTCCTTAGTAACATATTTTATGTTCTGTATAATGATAGAGAGCTAGTAAACATGTATATGTGAACAGTCTGATATTGAGGGGAAAACAAAAACCCATTCTGAAAGCATTAATTATTAAAATAAAACCATTATGAGAATGAGAAAGAAATAAATAAGTGTGCATGTACATAAATCATATACATGAGAATTGATATCTGTAGAGGAATAACATTGTCTTCTTTGCAATAATCTTAGTTTATGAAAATCTAAAAGATTAGCATCCATAGCATATTAGCATGGATTAGCTAGTTGGATTAGCATTCAATCAGCATATTCTAATTCTTTGTAGGTACTTGATTTTCTAGAAACTGCCAAAGCAATATTTGACAAACTAGGTCAATATAAACCATTTTTTAAGAGCTTTTTTTCAGGATACATATTTTGTGAATGATGAGATCTTTGGAAATTACCAAAATATCCCAAATATTTTTATGGGATCTATGTTGTTGTTTTTTTTCCCCATTAAGTTTATTGGTACATTTTATGTGTAAAATACAGTTACATACATCATTGGGATCTTGTACCATTACATGAGTATGTTGGTTCTTATTTTTTTCCCCTTCCCCTGCCCTCCCTTCACCCCCTCCACCCTTTCCTATTTGCAAAGACTTTGTTTCTATTTTTTTCCTTTTCTCCTATTTTTTCTTTTCCCTTCTTTCCTTTCCCCTACCCCTCCTACTTCCCCTGCTCCTTTACACCTTTACTTCATATTACACAATATCAATTATACATTTTTTAAATTACAATATCAAGATCTAGGAGATATTACCACAGATTTTACAGAATTTAAAAGGATATAAAAAGCATATTACAAAAATCTGTTTTGAAATAAATTTGACAACTTCTAAGAAGTACCTTGGAAGACAAATTAATGAAACTAACTCTGAAGGAAATATAAAATTTGAATAGCACCTATTAAAGAAAGTATATTCCTAGCTTGAAAACCTACCCATATAACAACAACAGGCTCATATACATTTTAACTGATAAATTATATCAAACATTTAAAGCAGAAAAAAATAAGGAACACTTCTCCCCTCATTTTAGGAAATCAACATTATGCTAATTCTAAAACTGGATAAAGATAATAGAAGAAAAAAGTATAAACATAGAAATTTGTTTAACAAAACAAACTATTAGAAGTCATATCTGGCAGTATGTAGGAAGTGGTTTCATTATAGGGATGGCAGTATTGGTTCAGCATGGGATCTTTGTTTTAAATGACTTGTTTTAAAGTGAATGTTCCAATGCAATTCTTGAGTAAAATTACATGAAATTTTAAATTACTTTCAATTAGAATAATTTGTTTTTTGCTCTGGTTTTAGTTTATTTTCATTTTGGAAGCCCTGGACTGGGGAAGGGAAGGGTCAAAAGAGGACAGGACCCAGGTGGGGAGAGTATCCCAGTGAGGCTCACACAAAGGGGCTGGCAAGCCTGAACCCCAGTGGAGTGGCCTTCTACAATAATTTTAATAGTATTGGTTCAAGAAAAATATCTACTGTCTTATTTGGGAAAAATACTGGCAAAAACATAAGCAAGTGCTCCTACTTAATCATATAAATTCTTCAGAAGAGGTACTGGTTTTTGAACTTCCTTTTGTCTGTGACAGCAGCTGTATGGGTGGCCTAGACAGTGATTTCTGAGTCCGCTGATGAGTTTTTTTCTCAGTACTTTTATGTAAGACTGAGGGCCTTACCAAATGCTCCAAGGAGCTGGCTGCAGTGAAGAACACCCGGGAAGGAACACACTGGACGAGTTGGAAAGTAAAACAGACCTTTATTAGTCTGGCCAGATGGCACTCCCAAAGCAAAATAGCTTAGAGAGGCAACTGGCTCAGAGTCCTAGGCTGTTTTTATAGGGGGTTGAGGGGGAAGTTAACATATAGAATTAAAGAAAAGGGGACAAAGGTTAATGGTCAACTGTCACGTATTGATGGTCAGCAGACATTTGCAGCTTGTTCTAAAAATTGTGGTGTCTGGAACATCAGTTCCAGGCAAACAAGGAGTTGAGTAGTTTACTTTGGGACTTTAGGTCTGTTACAGATTTTTATCTAGTGTCCCAAAACTAACAAGCATCTTTATCCATTAACTCACATTTAATCACAATGGGGCTGGAGAAAAGGAACAAAGGTTATGCAGTCCCACATTTAGAGACAGCATCTTCATACCTTATGCCACTTTCTGGGACCCAGTAGTGAGAGCCCTATTTTATGCTAGGATGCTACATTTTGGCTTTTGTCTTCTCATTCCCTGATGGTCTTTGTCAGAATATTAACCACCTGATCAGGGAGCTTACATAGTTTTCAAGAATCTCTGCTTCTTTTCAATATCTCTCTTGAACTGATATGTTAGGATCCTGATGGAAAAGATTCAAAATAATGTGCTCATTTTTTTTCACTGCTCACTTCATTCTGTGCATATCAATTTCTGCTTACTTGATTTATTTATGCTACTGGGACTAGTTTGCTACCACATCTTCACCTTGATATTTATGCATGAAAACCTCACCCTCTTCTCTGGCCACACTCAAAGCTATTGTATGGTTTGATAACAGAGCAACATTCTGGGAATTGAGAATATTCAAAAAAATGCAGAATGCAGCTTCATATTGGTTTTATTTTATTTATGTTTCCATTAAAATATTTATTTTTTCCTTTTATCATTAATTTCTATTAATTTTACAAAATCTTGGGTTTCAATGCATAACGTATTTTGATCATACCCCTCATTAATACATCAGAATTTTTCTAAAATGCTAAAATGCTTATGCTCCCAATAAGTTCAAGTAAGAATTATAATGAGCAGAAGAATCCTCATGGTCACCTCAAATCCTGAAGTCTCAGGTTTCATGACAGAGGAAGAATTTTGCTAGCAAACAGGCAAATATACTTTAAATCTTCATCCTCTGCCCCTTACATCATTAACATATTGTAACACTGTTGTGCCCAGATTGTGAAGTCCCAAAGACCACCAGGAGGCCGTTTTCGATGTGAGCACACGAGGGTCGTTTATTTAAGCTTAAGCAGGGACTCTTAATTGTCACCGATACAGCGGATCGAGATTGAGAGCCCTGAGTCCCAAACTAGCAGGGTTTTTATTGAGAATATAACAAGCTTTGGTTATTAGTAGCCAGGTGATTGGTTAATATTTAATACATATGAAGTGTAGGGTTTTGGTTGGCTAGGCTTTGGGGGTCGAAGGGGATTACGTATTGGTTTTTGCAAGGGAGAAAGGGGCAAAGATTAACGGCCGATTGTCACATACTGATCGTTAGCAGACCCACTGACTAATGGCCGCATCTATCTTGTGTGGATAGTTAGCTCATTAACTGCTTATCTTATAGACAGTGTGCCTGGAGCGCTCTTTCCCCGGGTACACAGGTGGTTGGGTAATAAACTCAGGAATTTCAAGTGGTGAATTCCTAGTTTAAGCACAAATTTGAGAGAACAAAGGAGACGGCTCCAAAATGGAGTCATTTTGGTCCCACAACACACCCTTCTTCAAATCTAATCGTGATTACAAGACCAGGCCTGAGAGTGCTTTGTAAAACTTTGCTTTCATAATTCCTAGCTAAACTTTCTTTGGTAATTTTTATTCTGCTATTATTCTGCTATTTTCCTTTGCTTCATCCATCTTTTTGTTCTACAAATTTCTGAGAACAATTCTTTTTTTCTTTCTTTTTTTTTTTTTTTTGCTACCGAGGATTGAACTCAGGTCCTTGCCCTAGCGAGGCAGGCAGCAGCACTACTGAGCTAAATCTCCTGGCCCGAGGACACTTCTTAAAAAGAGGATTATCCCTATTATTTGGTTGGAGGTGAATTCATGCCAGCAATCTGCAGAGCTGTGGATGTCTAGAGTGTGGATCTGGTGAGCCCGACAGGACGGGGCTCCGACAAGCAGAGTAGTGTAGGGGGGCGGACTTTGGGCACAGCTGCTACCCGAGGATTTGCTGTTCTTTCAACCTTTTTATCCTAGTCACAATCCCACAGGCCATTAACAGCCTGCTCCCCGCATCAGAATAGCTCATACAGGCCAAACATACCCTTGGGCAGCTCCAGGGCCAGGCCACGCCCCAACAACCCCTCCCCTCCCCCACCCCACCTCATTCCTCCCCCATGCCACCCCTTCAGGCAGCAGGGTCAGGGGGCGGCCTGGCCAGCCCCAAAACGAGACCTGGACTACCTGATCTATGCACCACCCACATTGCTTTTATAGGGAGAAAAATAACTAAATATTTTATTGAATCTGCAGCCAAAGACCCTTAGAAAATTTAATCTTGTATGTGACTCAAAACAACTTTGAGAATTATTATAAAAAGCAATGAACAATTTGTATCCTTCATCAGAATACAAGCTTCAAGAAAGTAGAAACTGCTTTGTTTACTGCCGAATTCAATAAACTCACAGACATGCTGGGTACATAATAGGTACTGACTGAAAATCTGTTTATTAATCTATGAATAAAGAGAAATCTATGATTTACCTAAAGCTTATTTTTCATTTGACTGGTACGAACCAGTACATCTGACTTTTTACATTATACCTAGGAAGTGAGCTGTTCTTCTACCCAAAGCAGTTAAGATTGCCAAAACCATGGTGAAGAGTAATCAAACTACTGTGGTGACAGAGTTTCTCTTCTCTGGATTTCCTCAGTTTGAAGATGGTAGCCTCTTCTTCTTTATTCCTTTATTTGTCATCTACGTATTCATCGTTCTTGGGAATCTCACTGTGTTTTTTGCAGTCAGGATAGATTCTCATCTCCACAATCCCATGTATAATTTCATCAGCATTTTCTCATTCCTGGAGATCTGGTACACCACTTCGACGATTCCCAAGATGCTGTCCAACCTCATCAGTAAACAGAGGACCATCTCCATGACTGGCTGCCTCTTACAGATGTACTTCTTCCATTCACTGGGAAATTCAGAGGGGATTTTGCTGACCACCATGGCAATTGACAGATATGTTGCCATCTGTAATCCTCTCCATTACCCGACCATCATGACTCCCCAGCTGTGCGCTCTGCTCTCTGCAGGCTCCTGCATCTTTGGCTTTTTTGTGTTGCTCCCAGAGATTGCATGGATTTCCACATTGCCATTCTGTGGCCCCAACCAAATCCACCAGATCTTCTGTGACTTTGGACCTGTGCTGAGCCTGGCCTGCACAGACACTTCCATGATTCTGGTTGAGGATGTGATCCATGCAGTGGCCATCATTTTCGCTGTCTTGATTATTACCATCTCTTATATCAGAATCGTCACTGTGATCCTGAGGATTCCCTCTGTCGAAGGTCGCTGGAAGGCTTTCTCTACCTGTGCAGCTCATCTCACTGTCTTTCTGATGTTCTATGGCAGTGTCTCCCTCATGTACCTGCGTTTCTCGGCCACTTTCCCACCAATTTTGGACAGAGCCTTTGCACTGATGTTTGCAGTTCTTGCACCCTTTTTCAACCCTATCATCTATAGTTTGAGGAATAAGGACATGAAAATTGCAATTAAGAAACTTCTCTGCTCTTAGATATTTACTGCTCATGAGGCCTTTTCATTGTAGATGTTACTCGTATGTATGAACCTAAAATTGGCATTTAATCATTCACTGTCACATTGATTTTTTTTACTCTAGTACTTGCCATGTATGTATTTATGTTATTTATACATGTTTCATTAAAATAGTACGTATTGCTTGTGTATCCTCCTGTAAATGAATAAACTATAAAAGGGAAATTTGGTTTAACCATTAAAATATGTTTTTATGAACATTAACTTTATTACTTTTATATAAACACTGTTATCATTTTTATCATTTTATATAAGGTTAATGATATATAAAGATTATAAAATATGGTAATTAGAATAAGATTTGCAGAAAAGATTAAAGTTTGTATTTCAGTGGTATCATTACTAATTTTGTGACCTTGAATAAGTTATTAATTAAATTCTCTGCATCCTAGTTTTATTATCTATGACTATGAAAGTAATATATTTTAAAATTAGGACTTTATATGTTATTATGAATATTAAATGAGTTACTTTGTGCTAGGCTTAACATATTTCATAAGAACAGTTGCAAAATAAATGTAAACTTATTATTTGCCACTAATTGCTGCCATTTGTTATTGAGGTTTAAAGAATGCTATAATAAAGCATGATATATTAAAAATAAAATCATATACTCAGGAATACTTAGCTATGCTTAAATTTCTGCTAACAAATTGAAAAACTTAGAAGAAATGGATATTTCTGTAAACATATGACCCACTGACATTGAATCAAGACAACATAAAAAACTTGAATAGACAAATAACAAGTAATGAAATTGAATCAGTAGTAAATATTTCCTAACAAAGAAAAATCACAGGACTAGAGAGCCTCAGAGCTGAATTTACAAAACAAAAATACCATGTCTTCTTAAACTATTCCAAAGAATTGAAAAGTACAGAATATTTCTCAGCTCATTCTATAAAGCCAGCGTTCCCCTATTACCAAATCCAAATAAGGACACAACAAAAAGAGAAAACCACAGACCAAATTCCTTGATGAACAGAGATGCAAAATTCTCAACAAAATACCAGTAAATCAAATTCACAGCTTGTCAAAACAATCGTGCATTGTGATCAACTTTGTTTCATCTAAGCATAGGCAAATCAACAAGTATAATACATCACATCAGGAAGATGAAAATAAATAATATGACTATCTCAATAGATGCAGAAAAAGCATTCAATAAAATTGAACATGTCTTGATGATAAAAACCTTGAAAAAATTCTGTAAAGTAGGGCTGTGCCCCAACATAATAAATGTTTTAGAACAATTGGGCAAGAGAAAGAAATAAAATGCACACAAATAAAAAGGTAAGGTGTCAAACTATCTCAGTTTGGAGACCATATGATTCTATATAGAAAAACTTTAATCCACCAAAATATTATTAGAAATGATAAATGAATTAATGTTGCAAGATACAAATGAACTTTAAAAAGAGTAGAAGTTTTGTATACCAATAATGAACTTGCTGAGAAAAAAATCACAAAATCAGTAATTACAATAAAAGAAAATACAACACATGGAGTAAATCTAATCATCAGTGGGTGAATAGATAAACGAAATATTAACTACATACACAATGAAATATTATTTAATCACAAAGAAAGCATGGAATCCTGTTATTTGTAGCAAAGTACATAAAACTAGAAAACATTATATTACGTGAAAAACCTGATGCAGAAAAGCAAGAATAATATTTCTCTCTCTTAAGTGAATGCTAAAATGTTTATCTCAATTTAGGTGATTACTGGAGGTTGAGAAGTTGGGGGGGAGGATAAATGGAGACTGGATATGATCAGTACATGCTGTAGGTATGTGTTGAATATCATTCAGATCCATTAATATATGCAAATAACAATATTAATAAAAAACAACATAATTATTAAAATAAAATTCAGTGAGTTCTTTGAAGATGGCAGTTCTTAGAAAAAAATAGGCAAATTTAAAATACCAACCATAAAATATAATTTTGATATTGAATAATAAGTTGAACTACTACAAAAATTGAATTAATGACCTAGAATGTTATGTAGAAAAAAGTCTCAAAATTTATAGAAGTCACATGAAGAGACAAATATTACATGAAAAAAGATTTAAAAATTATTTGAGGAATATCTTAATATACTCAATACATCAAATATGGGATTATAAGAGTTCCGAAAAGAAAAATTAAGGCAGAAAAAAATAATTAAAGAAAACTATTCTTGAACTTAAGAACACTTGAATGCTGGGTGTGGTGGGTCAGGCCTGTAACACCCACACTCAGAGACTGTGCTGAGGATTGAGAGTTCAAACCCAGCCAGGACTACATGGTGGAACCCTGTCTCTCAAAACAAAAGCAAAAGCAAATAGGAAAATGATAATATTTGATCTGTCAGATCAAAAGAGATTGTTTAGCGTTACAACAAATGACTAGAAACAACATTGGGGCTGAAGGCAGTTTCAGATTTCAGGAAAAGAGATATAAGAAATTACTTAATAAGTCAAATTACTTCCCCCAAGATATAGGAAGAAAAGTCAAACTAAGGCACGAAGAAAGCATGTCTTCTTATCTCAGAAACTGGTACATATTTCCAAGGAGAAGATGAAATGATAAGAATTTTTGGGAAATGTAAAAGGAGAGAGAGAACTGAGAGCAGTGGATTAAGTGCATAAAATATAGGATACTGTAACAAAAGTTAATATGTTGACTCACAATAGAGAGGTCAGCAGGACCAGCATGAGTTTTAAGGCCCAAGAAACCCAAACATTTGTACAATAAGGAAGAAAATGAAACTATTCCTTCACTTTCTCTAAAATCACATCAAAAGCCTTAATGCCAGGTTTATTGTGGAATGGCCTTATTTTTTATTAAATCATTTTTAAAGAATCCTGGTGTCAAAATTATTTTTAGCACTTTCTACCTCTGTGTGTTCTTATAGAAAGGGCAGGACCATGACAAAATACTTTGCACTGCACCCTGGTACACTCAAGAACAGCAAAGAAAATAATGAATATACTCGAGAAAGTAATTTACATTTGAGAAGATGGATGTAATCAGGAGAACTACACTTATTGACAACTTTGATCTGGAAGTCTAATGAGAGTAAATTAATTAACCTCGTGAGAGAAGATGATCTTCTCAATCACAGTACCAGGGAGGAATCCCCTGCAGACTTCACTTCCCCTTCCTGCTATTCTCTACATGCCTGTGTGGTCAATATAAATGTAGAGATTGAAGGAAATCAAGGATGGAGAGGCCCAGAGAGGCCGAGGAGTCCCTATGTTCTTAGGCAGAGGTGAGTGCAGATGGCTAAAGCTTGGGTTATCATGCATAAGAGTAATCCATGGAAATATATGAAAAAGAATGGTACATTTATGATGCCAGCTTCTGAGAAATCATTTAGTCCAGACTCAGCTAGGACTCTCATTAGAACTGAACTGTCACACTTCCTTCTCAAAAACTCCCCAATTTTCTTTGTTCACTTATCATGACTTTCTTGTAAGTTCAATTATATTGTACCTGGTGACCCAGTACCAAGGTATTTGATGCTATTTTTTGCTTTCCAACCTTGTTCTAGGGGCTGTGAGACATAAAAGACATTAACTGCCCTAAAAGAGGAACTCATAATCTGTGGAAGGTAATACAAGTAAGTTGGCATTGGAGAATGATAAATGCTACAGTACAGGAACTCTGACCTAATAACACCCAACATTCGGAGTACTGTTTATTCCTAATGCCACAGTAAGCATTTCTAATACATTTACATAAAGTGGTAGTCATGGGCAAGTGCCTGAAAGCTAGCTACTTTCTCTAGAGAAACAGCACACAGATTTAGATTTCAGCTTTACCCTATATTAGTTAAATTGCCTTGAGAAGTTTCTAACCTATGTGTGCCTAACTTTTCTCATCTGTATAAAGGAGATTAATAATCTTCTCATGAGAACATTATAGGCAAGCGAGATACTATCATAGGTGCCTAGGATAGTACCCATGGCAGTGACTCAATAATACCATATTGTCCTGTTATTAATCACTTCAGTCATTCTCAAATGAGCTCATATTAATATTTTCTCCACTTACAAACAGGAGATTAAAGGAATATGAAGCTTAGTACTTTGATAAGTCACAGAGAATTTAAGTGATAGAAATTTGTTTCTGATATCCAGACTTTTAACCAGTGATAGATATTGCTTCTATGTAAAAATAGAGGGCAGAGGAGGGAGAGGTGTGATATATTCAAGTCAGACAAAGTAGCACACATAGGAGGCATTGTAATTTCAGAAAAGAAGTATGAATTAGGTTTCAAGGGATGAATGAATTTGGAGAATTCTAAGTGAAGCAAAAGACTGTTAGGTATGTTAACTTGAATCTTATGAAAAAGAGATTGGATGGAGAAAAACACTTAAATGCGTGAATACTTGAAATCTTTGTAAGTTAACGAGATCATCAAGAGAGCATATAGAGGTATAAGTGGTTAGAATGGATGATGGAAACCTGAAAAAAACCTTTGGCATGAAAAGTTTAAAAGAAGGACATAAATTAATATGAGAAATAAGAGGCACAGTAAAAATGGGAGTACAAGAAAAAATTAATGAAACAGAAGTCAAAGCCAGAACTGTCTCTGAAGACCAGTTGGAAATCACATCTATTGAGAACAGTCATGGAAATAGAAAAAAGTCTTCACCAGAGGTAATGAGCTGTGTTAAATGCCACAGCTGACTGAGTAATTTCCATTATGAATTGGCAGAATACTATCAGTGTAATGTTAGAGGAGAAGGCAAGTATTAAAGGAGAAGGAGAAATGTGGTGAGTTGGATTTGATTACTTCTTTCAGAAGTTGTCTACCGAATACTGTTAAAATCTTTTGGTACTATTTTTAATCCCATTTTTCAAATGACTAACAAGAGGCTGAATACAGCCTTTTAGTCTAATGGTTCCCTTGTAGGGTTAGAATTCAGGGTTTACCCATTAGAAACTGGCCATTTGCTCTGAG